AACAGAGTGAGACTCTGTCTCAAAATTAAAAAAAAAAAAGTTCCGTTTATTCTGTTTTCCCCCTGCTTTTGATGTTTTTCATTTGTTTTGGGAAACTCTTGGACAATCTTGGATAATATCTCTTTAAACACTACCTGTGCCCCATTCTCTTTCTCCTTCTGGGATTCTATGTACAGTGGACCTTTTCACCATATCTCAGATGATTCTTATACTCTTTTCTGTCTTTTCCATCCATTTTTTTTTTGAGACGGAATCTTGCTCTGTTGCCCAGGCTGGAGTGCTGTGGCATGATCTCAGCTCACTGCAACCTCCACTTCCCAGGCTCAAGCAATTCTCAGCCTCTTGAGTAGCTGGGATTACAGGCGCTTGCCACCACTCCCAGCTAATTTTTTGTAATTTTAGTAGAGATGGGGTTTTGCTATGTTGGCCAGGCTGGTCTGAAACTCCTGACCTTAGGTGACGCCTGCCTTGACCTCCCAAAATGCTGGGATTATAGACGTGAGCCACCACACCCAGCCCTGCTCCCCCATATTTTTTTTTTTTTTGAGACAGAGTCTAGCTCTTTCACCCAGGCTGGTGTGTGCAGTGGCGCAATCTTGGCTCACTGCAACCTCCGCCTCCAGGGTTCAAGCAATTCTCTCCCTTAAGCCTCCTGAGTAGCTGGGACTACAGGCATGCACCACCACACCCGCCTAATTTTTGTAATTTTAGTAGAGATGGGGTTTGGACCATGTTGGCCAGGCTGGTCTTGAATTCCTAACCTCAGGTGATCCACCCACCTCAGCCTCCCAAAGTGCTGGGATCACAGGCATGAGCCACCATGCCCAGTGTGTTCAGTCTTTTGTGATATCACTGGGGAGTGAATGAGTGAAAAAAGCAGGAAATATTTTGGTGGTATTATGAAAATTTTGTATTATTATGAGGGTGCCTTGGAAGGGACCACAGTTTGAGAAGCGGCTGCTTCAGGGTACAGCCCTCAGTACTCTTAATGCAAGCCCAGTGGTTAGCCTCATTACCAATATGCTGCTGAACCACCCGTTAGGTTTTATTGTTGTTTTTTGAAACAGGGTCTCACTCCGTTCCCCAGGCTGGAGTACAGTGGCTCAATCACTTCATGGCTTACTTCAGCCTCGACCTCCCAGATACAAGTGATCCTCCTGCCTCAGCCTCCCAAGTAGCTGGGACTATAGGAGTGTGCCACCATGCCCAGCCAATTTATTTTTTTGTAGACGTGGGGCCTTACTGTGTTACCCAGGCTAGTCTTGAACTCCTGACCTCAGGTGATCCGCCCGCCTCGGCCTCCCAAAGTGCTCGGATTATAGGCGTAAGCCACTGCACCTGGCCTTAAGCCTCTTATTAGCAGCTTTCTGCTTGGTGTCTTAGCCTCTGATGCCCTGCCCCACTTGAAGCTCAGGAGTTGGCCAATTTCACAAGTGCACTGAGTGTGCACCACCCACCTCGCCCTCCTGCACTTATTTCCCTTTGCTTTGACATCACGGCCCCTTGAGTCCAAGCTGCCTTGGTAACCTGGAGCTCCCATTTTGCTTTCCCCACCCAGGGAAGCTGCTGAAAGGTCGAGGTGGCCGTTTTCTGCCCTCCCCATGGGGAAAGGCAGAGGCCAGAAAGGGCTCCCTCCAGAAACGGCACTTCCCTCCTTTCCAGGAGCTTGATCCCCAAAGTCCTGGCTGCTCTGGTTGGTCACCAGTGCTTCCAACAACTGGTTTATTCTTTTTTTATATTTTATCCGGTTGACATAGTTCATGGCAGGTGTGTTAGTCAGATATAAACATCGCTGGGAGTGGACAGCAGCAACGGTGTTGTTGTTGATGATGTTTTTAAGAGACAGGGTCTCCCTGTGTTTCCCAGGCTTGATTCAGTCTTGGGCTTAAGCAATCCTCCTGCCTCAGCCTCCTGAGTAGCTGGAGTTACAGGCATGCAATTCCACATCCGCCTAGCACTTAGTTCTTTAACTTGCTTTTTTGGTTAACTTGCTTAATGATTTAGCTTGGAGATCTTTCCCCATCTGTTCATAAAGAGCCTCTTCATTCTCACGTCTGCATGGTCTTTGATGGGTGAGCCATCATTGGTTTAATTAGATGGTTTCCAGTGTGTCGCTACCACGGACAATCTGTAATTATACATGTAAGTTTGTTGATGTATTCATGTATCTGGAGGTTAAATTCCTGTAGTGCCAAATCTTTTATGTGGATAAACACTTGTCATTTTGAGAGCTGTCACCTAATTGCCCTTGGTGGCGTTGTGCCAGTTCACCCTTCTCGCAGCGTGTCTGAGAAGAGCAAGCTAGTTTTAGCTGCACAGCCTAGAAGCCGTGGCCAGACCTAGGGGGAGGGGCAGGGCTCTCCCCTTCCATATCGGCCTTGGCACCAGATGCCAGGTCACACCTGTTGTCTCTCCCAGGACACATTTGACATCCGGATCCTGATGGCCAAGTCTGTCAAGTACACGGTGAACTTCTTAGAAGCCAAAGAAGGAGATTTGCACAGGTACCGGCACCCACACTCCATCCTCCCAGGCCTGCCTCAGGCCGAAGGTCAGGGCCACCGACATCCTGCCGTCCCAGGGCAGGTGGTGGGCGGGGGCCCCGGGCCTCTGCACCTGGCACCCCCTCTTCTCTCTTGGCAGCGCCTGTCTGGCTTCCCCAGCAGCCACTGCCCTTTGCCTTCCAGGATAGAAATCCCATTCAAATTCCACATGCTGCATTCAGGGCTGGTCCATGGCCTGGCTTTCTGGTTTGACGTTGCTTTCATCGGCTCCATGTGAGTGCCGCAGAGCAGCCCGTGCTGCCTCCTCCCCACTCCCAGGGCTTCCTGCAGCTGCAACCTGACTGGGAGGGTGGAACGTGGCTCCAGGTTCCACCATCCCTTCCAATGGGAGTGAGAGCCTGTCTCAGAGCAAGAGACTGTTGTGGGTGGGGTGTGTGTGTGTCCTGTGTGTCCTGTGTTCCCAGTGTCTGTCCCTCATGGGCCTGTGTCTGTCTCTTGGCACATGTCAGGGTGAGCAGGGATCTCGTGGCTGCAGGTCCCTCGTGTGTACATGTATGCCTGCTCATGTATGTGTCTGGGAATGCCTGGGGGCCAGCCCGTCCCGGGGGTCCCTGGCAGAGGGGGCAGGTGCTTGGGGAGGACTCAAGGCATACAAGGTGGTGGCTCCAGTGATGGCGTTGGCCCAGTCAAGTGCGTGCCTGTCCCTGCTCCACAGAATGACCGTGTGGCTGTCCACAGCCCCGACAGAGCCCCTGACTCACTGGTACCAGGTGCGGTGCCTGTTCCAGTCACCACTGTTCGCCAAGGCAGGGGACACGCTCTCAGGGACATGTCTGCTTATTGCCAACAAGAGGTGTGACTGCTCCCTGGGGCTGGTGGTGGGGGGCAGGGGTCCATCTGCCCAGCCACTCACACCACGGCCTGCACCCTCTCCACAGACAGAGCTACGACATCAGTATTGTGGCCCAGGTGGACCAGACCGGCTCTAAGTCCAGTAACCTCCTGGATCTAAAAAACCCCTTCTTCAGGTAGGAGGGGCACCCTACCTGCATGGGGTGGGGGCGCCCCGGCCCTGCAGCCCCCTTGCCCCTGCCCATGGCTCTGTCTCTGCCACAGATACACGGGCACGACACCCTCACCCCCACCCGGCTCCCACTACACATCTCCCTCGGAAAACATGTGGAACACAGGCAGCACCTACAACCTCAGCAGCGGGATGGCCGTGGCAGGTGAGCAGGGCACGCCCCAATGCCCAGCCAACCCGGGAGGCCGCCCTCACCGCAGGCCTGGCCCCTCTGCCTCCAGCCCTGACATCTCCCCTCTCTGGGCACAGGGATGCCGACCGCCTACGACCTGAGCAGTGTTATTGCCAGTGGCTCCAGCGTGGGCCACAACAACCTGATTCCTTTAGGTGAGTGTCCCCTAGGGCCAGGGTCAGCAGAGAGCCGTGCCCAGGACTGCCCAGAGGCCGGGAAGGGCCTGTGGCAACCAGGGTCGGCCTGTGCTTGGTCCTTTCGCCTTTTCCTCTTCCAGGGGGCTCTCGGCCGAGGCCCTCCGTCCTCTCTGCCTCGCTCTGCAGCCTGCTGCTGCGCATGGGCTGGGTGGCTGGGGGCGGTGACGCCGTCTCCCTTCCTTCTTTCCTCCCTCTTGCTGCGCAGCCAACACGGGGATTGTCAATCACACCCACTCCCGGATGGGCTCCATAATGAGCACGGGGATTGTCCAAGGTAATGAGGGTGGCGGGGGCAGGGCCCGTGGGGGCCGAGCTAGCGTGTGAGTCGCCATCCTCTGTCCGGCCGCCCGCCTGCCCTCTTGCCTGCCCTTTCTCTCTGTGACTCTGCCTGGGGGCTGGGTGGGCCAGGGCAGCCCCTCACTGCCATCGCCTGCCCCACAGGGTCCTCCGGCGCCCAGGGCAGCGGTGGTGGCGGCACCAGTGCCCACTATGCAGTCAACAGCCAGTTCACCATGGGCGGCCCTGCCATCTCCATGGCGTCGCCCATGTCCATCCCGACCAACACCATGCACTACGGGAGCTAGGGGCCTGCCCCGCGGACTGACAGCACCAGGAAACCAAATGATGTCCCCGCCCGCCCCCCCGCCGGGCGGCTTTCCCCCTTGTACTGGAGAAGCCCGAACACCCGGTCACAGCCCTCTTTGCTATGGGAACTGGGACACTTTTTTACACGATGTTGCCGCCATCCCCACCCTAACCCCCACCTCCCAGCCCTGAGCGTGTGTCGCTGCCATATTTTACACAAAATCATGTCGTGGGAGCCCTCGTCCCCCTCCTGCCCGCTCCACCCTGACCTGGGATTGTCATCTGTTGGAACAGGCGCCATGGGGCCTGCCAGCCCTGCCTGCCAGGTCCCTTAGCACCTGTTCCCCTGCCTGTCTCCAGTGGGAAGGTAGCCTGGCCAGGCGGGGCCTCCCCTTCGACGACCAGGCCTTGGTCACAACGGACGTGACATGCTGCTTTTTTTAATTTTATTTTTTTACGAAAAGAACCAGTGTCAATCCGCAGACCCTCTGTGAAGCCAGGCCGGCCGGGCCGAGCCAGCAGCCCCTCTCCCTAGACTCAGAGGCGCCGCAGGGAGGGGTGGCCCCGCCGAGGCTTCAGGGGCCCCCTCCCCACCAAAGGGTTCACCTCACACTTGAATGTACAACCCACCCCACTGTCGGGAAGGCCTCCGTCCTCGGCCCCTGCCTCTTGCTGCTGTCCTGTCCCCGAGCCCCTGCAGTCCCCCCAGCTCCCCCCACCCAGAGTTAGAGCAGGTGGCTGCAGGCCTTGGGCCCGGAGGGAAGGCCACTGCCGGCCACTTGGGGCAGACACAGACACCTCAAAGATCTGTCACGGAAGGCGTCCTTTTTCCTTGTAGCTAATGTTAGGCCTGAGTAGCTCCCCTCCATCCTTGTAGACGCTCCAGTCCCTACTACTGTGACGGCATTTCCGTCCCTCCCCTGCCTGGGAAGGGACCTTGCAGGGACCTCTCCCTCCAGAAAAAAAAAAAAAAGAAAAAGAAAAAATAAACAAGGAAACGTGTTACAGCACAGGCAGTTTTCTTCTCCTTCTGCTCCCCTGTTTCTGACACCCCCAAACTCAGATGCTGGAGCTCAGGCCCGGACCCAGGCCCGCCATGTGTGCACCCAGGCAGGAGCGGGTGCTGTCCAGGCTGGGGCGCCCCCTTGGCTCGCTCTCCTGTTCCAGGGGAGCCATGGGAGGGAAAGCAGGTGGCCCAGGGGGATATGGGGGCCCCAGCCCTGTCCCAAAGCTCCCTGCTCGGCTGCCCCTCTCCCGCCTTTATATAAATTCTCTGAATCACCTTTGCATAGAAAATAAAAGTGTTTGCTTTGTAAGAAAAGTCTGGAAAGTAGCAGAGTCATCTCAAGGTGTCAAGGGAACCTTCAGTCATCATCTGGGGGGCAGGACAGGTAGAGGAGTTGGTCCACTTAGGTGTTGCCTGAAAGAAAGAATTGTCTGGCAGTGTCCCCAGAACCTCTTACCTTGACTGGGGGTGGGAGGGCAGCCCCCTTAGCCCAGCTGGGAACAGTCTTTACCTGTGGGACCCAGGCCTTTCTAGGAGGGGGCCATGGTCTGAGGCAGGGTAGGGGGCAGCAGGATGTTTGAGGGCAGAGATGTGATTTGTGGTGGAGGAGCCACCTTCTCCGGAGGCAGCGACTGGAAGAAGTACAACTGCACAAGACCCCTGGGGTCAGAGGCAGGGCCAGCGCACACCCCCCCCCAGCCCCTCAGCCCCACCTGAGGTACACCTGTGGCCACCCCAGACCTGTACCTTACAGCCCACGGCCAGGAGTGCATGGAGCAGCACAACCGCAGACAGCAGCACCATGGCCACCAGCCTAGTGTCCTCACGGACCACAGGCCAGAGGGTGAATACCAGCCCGGTGGCCGACAGGCCCAGGGCCAGTGCCCCAAAGAGCCACTGCAGCCAAGGCACAGGGATGAGCCACAGGACCTGGGAGCAACACGGCGGCAGGTGACCATGCCAGTCCCCACAGCCACCACCCACTCTGCACCAGGCCACCCTCACCACCATGGGAATGAGGCAGCAGGTGACCATGCCAGTGTCTCTACACAGCCACCACCCACTCCGCGCCAGGCCACACTCACCACCATGGGGATGAAGACAAAGAGGGAGTAGCCGTAGACGCACACGGTCTCCAGGAAGGTGTAGGGCCCCATGCGCTCCCGGACACCCTTGCGCCACCGCAGAAAACCCCACAGGGCCAGGGGCACCAGCCACGCGTAGCAGTAGATGCTGATGCCTGCCACGGTCACTGGGGGCAAGGTGAGCAGTCACCCCCTGCCCCCCGGGGCCCTGCCAGGCATCGGTCCTGCCCGCCTGCTTACCCTTATGGAACTGGGGGCTGTAGTGGATGGAGGGGTCTCTCCTCTGGGCCAGCACCAGCGTCAGGTTGCCAGTGACAGCCAAGACGAAGGCCAACGTGGCACAGATCCAGAAGGGGCCTGAGGATGGGGGGCACAGTCAGAGTCCCCCCACCTGTGACCTCCCTGCAGCTCATTTACTCCAGTGGTAATGCCGCCCTGCAGTTCATGCAAGGCCCTGCAGTTCATGCAAGTTCCTGCCATGAAGCTTATGCTGTTTCTGGAACCCTCTTTTCCTAGGTCTCCCCTACCCCTCCCGTTGCCAACAAGGCTCATTCCCTCACCCTGCTCAGGGAGGCCTGCCCTGCTGCACCCTGCAAAACAGCAAGGCCGCTCCTCCTATATGCTCTCTACCCGCCACCCTCTGCAGTCCTTCATGTCTGTCTCCCTGAACAACAGGTAAGTCACACTCTCTGAGTGACTGATTTGTCCTCAGCTGTACACTGGTGTCTGCAACTCAGGCCACATTTGTTGAGTGATCCATCAAGGAACCAAATGTACCTCACTCACCATACAGATCCGGCCGATTCCGCAGATGGTGCCGCACAAAGTTGTGGCCAGGCCGGGGCAGCAGTGAGCCTTTGATCCGGTTCAGGACCTGGGGGCAAGGCCAAGGTCAAGGATGGAGGCCTGCCAGGAGCTTCTCCCTTGTCCTGAGAGGCTCCGTCCCTGCTGACCTCCACCCTCCTGTCTCCATGCCCCACCTGAAAGAACTCAGCCTTTCCCTCTTTTTTTTCTTTTTCTAGACAGAGTCTCACTCTGTCGGCCAGGCTGGATAGAGTGCAGTGACACGATCTCTGCTCACTGCAACCTCTGCCTCCTGGGCTCAAGCAACTCTCCTGGCTCAGCCACCTGGGTAGCTGGAATTAACAGGCGTGTGCCACCACGCCCGACTAATTTTTGTATTTTTAGTAGAGACAGGGTTTTGCCACGTTGACCAGGCTGGTCTCAAACTCCTGACCTCAGGTAATATGCCCACCTCAGCCTCCCAAAGTGCTGGGATTACAGGCGTGAGCCACTGTGCCCAGCCCCAGCCCCCTTTTTCTTTTTGAGATGGAGTGTCACTCTGTCCTCCCAGCTGGAATGCGGTGGCATGATCTTGGCTCACTGCCACCTCCGCCTCCCAGATTCAAGCGATTCTCATGCCTCAGCCTCCTGAGTAGCTGGGACTACAGGCCATGCGCCACCATGCCTGGCTAATTTTTGTATTTTTAGTAGAGATGGGGTTTCACCATGTTGGCCAGGCTGGTCTCCAACTCCTGACCTCAAGTGATCCACCACTTCGGCATCCCAAAGTGCTAGGATTACAGGTGCCCAACCACTGCACCTGGCTAATTTTAGTATTTTTGTTTTGTTTTGTTTTGGTTTTTTGAGACAGAGTCTCACTCTGTCGCCCAGGCTGGAGTGCAATGGCGCCATCTTGGCTCACTGCAAGCTCCGCCTCCCGAGTTCACGCCATTCTCCTGCCTCAGCCTCCCAAGTAGCTGGGACTACAGGCGCCGCCACCACGCCCGGCTAATTTTTTTGTATTTTTAGTAGAGACGGGGTTTCACCGTGTTAGCCAGGATGGTCTTGATCTCTTGACCTCGTGATCTGCCTGCCTTGGCCTCTCAAAGAGCTGGGATTACAGGTATGAGCCACCACGCCCAGTCTAATTTTTGTATTTTTATTTTATTTATTTATTTATTTTGAGACAGAGTCTCACTCTTTTTGCCCAGACTGGAGTGCACTGGCGTGATCTCGGCTCACTGCAACCTCTGCCTTGCAGGTTCAAGCGATTCTCCTGCCTCAGCCTCCAGAGTAGCTAAGATTACAGGGCCTCGCCACCAAGCCTGGCTGATTTTGTTGTATTTTTAGTAGAGATGGGGTTTCACCATGTTAGCCAGCCTGGTCTTGAACTCCTGCGCTCAGGTGATCTGCCCACCTCGGTCCCCTGAAGTGCTGGAATTACAGGCGGGGAGCTACTGCCCCCAGCCCATCTTTGATCTTCTGCATATGCTGTTCCCTTTGCCTGGAACATACTTCAGCTCCCCTCCCCCATTCCCCAGGAAGCGTTCCTTCTCCTTTAGGTTTCAGCCAATTCCTCACGTCCTCCACGAGGTCTTCCTCTAACCCACGAGATTGTGTGTGTCCCCTGTGTTCCTACAGTCCCGATCCATAACCAGTCCCACCATAACCCTTTGAGAGCACCACAGTTCCTTCACCCGCACTCGCCATCACCAGCACCCTGCCCAGGGAAAGTGTGGCTGAACCCTGAGCGTAACTCTGAGCCCCACCTCACCTGCCTCCCCAGGCCTCACCTGTGAGGTGTCCACGTCAAAGAAGCTCTGATAGTAGCTGAAGGTCCAGAATCCGGGCTGCTGCTGCTGCTGCTTCTCCTGCAGGAGCTGCACATTGCGGGCATTCAGCGCCTGCCCCGACAGCGTGGATCAGCCGGGAGCTGCACAGAGGCAGGACACAGGGACTCACCGCGGCCTTGTCACTCTCCTCCTCCACCTCATCCTCGGCTCCATAGCTGCCACCTGAGCCCACGGCCACAGCCACGTGCCCTTGTGGGGTCAGCTGATCACTTCTGCTGGTTGTGGCTGCATCTGGGGTCTCAGCCAGAAGATTAGTGGCCTCCTCGAATTCTGTGGAGCAGGGACATGGGACACACGCACGCTTGAGGGGTGGAAAGAATTCGACTGGGCTCCAGCCAAGTCAATGCTCATCTGGGGGCGGAGGCTCTGCTGAGCCATTGATCTCCCCCAAGGTGGGGCCCAACTCCCTCAGTTTGGAGGCATCCGGAGGGCGTCTGTTCCCTTCCTCCTAAAGTGGAACTGCAACTTAGGGTTGGCCCTGGGATGGGGTCAGGGTCTGGAGACATGAGGCTCGGGTTTGAGGTCTGAGTTCAGGGCGGGGGCGGGGTTCGGGTCAGGGATGGGTCTCACTCCTGGGTCAGGGTTCACAACCGCCTAGGGTTGGGGTAGAGAAGTTGGAAGCCGCATGGCGGGGAGGTTCTGGCAAGGGACGGGAGTAGGAGATCCGGCCTCGTCGGGGCCGCACTCACCGTGGAAGGTCAGCTCGTCAGCCGATGCCATGGTCGTTCAGGGGCGTCTCCGCATCCCTCGCTGAGGACAGAGACCGGTCAGGCACGCTCCCCCCACGCCCCCAAGCCGGTCCCTTGGCCCCCAGCCCTACCTGGCGGCCAGCTGCACCCACGGAGGCTTGAACTCGTCGCCCCGTCGCCACAGGTGCGCTCCGCCCTCCTCACCGGAGGCCACCTGGGCCGGCGTGGCTGGGGCTCTCTGCGATTGCGCAGCTGGCCTACCCGTCAGAGTCTACCCGACTCGGACCGGACAGCAACATCCGGCGCCGGTCCTCTTTCTATCCTTTCCCGTTGGGAAGCCACTTCCGGTAAAGTTGGCGCTTGCGCAGAAGAGCCTCCCGGGCTTTTAACTTCGGGTATCGAGAGTTTCTTTCCGGAGCAAGGACCCCCAAGACGGAAGAGGATGGCCGCGGCGGCTCTGAGGAGATTTTGGTCCCGGCGCCGCGCAGAGGCGGGCGACGCTGCAGCGGCGAAGCCGGGAGTGTGGGCGCGGCTGGGTGAGTAGCGGCGGAAGGCGGCAGGGTGGGTGGCCGCCGCTGCCGAATCACTCTTACCGCGCTCCTCTCCCCTCAGGGTCTTGGGCCCGCGCGCTGCTCCGGGACTACGCCGAGGCCTGCAGGGACGCGGCGGCGGAGGCTAGTGCCCGGCCGGGGCGCGCGGCCGTGTATGTGGGGCTGCTGGGCGGCGCGGCGGCCTGCTTCACGCTGGCGCCGAGCGAGGGTGCTTTCGAGGAGGCGCTGCTGGAGGCGTCGGGGACCCTCCTGCTGCTGGCGCCGGCCACCCGCAACCGCGAGTCCGAAGCCTTCGTGCAGCGGCTGCTCTGGCTGCGGGGCCGTGGCCGCCTGCGCCACGTCAACCTAGGGCTCTGCTCCCTGGTGTACGAGGCGCCCTTCGACGCCCAGGCCAGCCTCTACCAGGCGCGCTGCCGCTACCTGCAGCCCCGCTGGACCGACTTCCCCGGCCGGGTCCTGGACGTGGGCTTCGTGGGTCGCTGGTGGGTGCTGGGGGCCCGGATGCGCGACTGCGACATCAACGACGACGAATTCCTGCACCTGCCGGCGCATTTGCGGGTGGTCGGGCCCCAGCAGCTGCATTCCGAGACCAACGAGCGGCTCTTCGATGAGAAGTACAAGCCTGTCGTGCTCACCGACGATCAGGTGGACCAGGCGCTGTGGGAGGAGCAGGTCTTGCAGAAGGAAAAAAAGGACAGGCTCGCCCTGAGCCAGGCCCACTCGCTGGTGCAGGCGGAGGCCCCGAGATGAAACCCTGAGGCCCCCGAGTCCTGGCAAACTGCTTGCCTGGGGTAGTGCAGCTGTGAGTGTGCCTCACCTGCAGAACAACTGAGACAGATGATGTGCGAAGTGTTTTCTCACTGGATTTGCGCAAGTTTGGGAGCCTTTCTGCCCCCCGTCTTTGTTCTTTATTAGCTGAAGCTAATTCCGAGCCACCTTGGTCCAGGAGTTGGGACAGCAGAACGACTTGACACATGTTCATCACTGGCAGAGCTGGTCATGAGCCTTTTATATAAGCCTTTTTCATTGGGCCTCAGAGGCCCTCCTTAAGGAGGTACCACAGTGGTCAGGTGACTTGCAAACTCTTCTAAGACCACTTAGATTCTCTTTTTAAAGTTTGGGTTGTGGCCTGGCGTGGTGATGCACGTCTGTAATCCCAGCATTTTCCAAATTGAGGCAAGAGGATCGCTTGAGGCCAGCCCGAGTAACATAGCAAGACTCCGACGCTACAAAAAAAGAATAATAATTAACTAAATAAAATTTGAGCTGAAATGTTTTTATTCTGTGATCTGTTCTCTTTCGTTTTGTTTTGTTTTCCTTTTTTTTTGTTTTCCTTTTTTTGTTTGTTTGTTTTTGTTTTTTTGAGACAGGGTCTTGCTCTGTCTCCCCGGCTGGAGTGCAGTGGCGCCATCTCGGCTCACTGCAACCTCTGCCTCCCAGGTTCAAGCGATTCTCCTGCCTCAGCCTCTGGAGTAACTGGGATTACAGGCATGTGCTCACATGCCCGGCAAATTGTATTTTTAGTAGAGATGGGGTTTCACTGTGTTGGCCAGGCTGGTCTTGAACTCCTGACCTCAGGTGATCCGCCTGCCTCGCACTCCCAAAGTGCTGGGATTATAGGAGTGAACCACCACACCCGGCCTTTCATTTTGATAAGTAACATTTTTGCCATTCCCAGCTCTTTGGGAGGCTGAGGTAGGAGGATTGCTTGAGATCAGGAGTTCAAGACCAGTTTAGGCAACATAGTGAGACCTTTCTCAAAAACTAAAATATTTGGAAGGGTAAAGCAGGCGAATCACTTGAGCCTAGGAGTTCAACACCAGCCTGGGCAATATGGTGAAACCCCGTCTCTACAAAAAATACAAAAATTTACCAAAGGTGTTGAATGAGAATTGAAAATACATATACATAGAAAAATTAGCCAGACATAGTGGACCATGTCTGTAGTCCCAGCTAGTTGGAAGGCTGAGGTGGGAGGATCACCTGAGCCTGGGAGTTCAATGCTGCATTGAGCCATGATGGTGCCACTGCACTCCAGCCTGGACAACAGAGTGAAACTCTTTGTCTCAAAAAGTAAAATAAGTGGCTGGGCAAGGTGGCTCAAGCCTGTAATCCCAGGACTTTGGGAGGCCGAGGCAGGTGAATCACGACATCAGGAGATCGAGACCATCCTGGCTAGCATGGTGAAACCCCGTCTCTACTAAAAATTCAAAAAATTAGCCGGGCATGGTGGTGGGCGCCTGTAATCGCAGCTACTCAGGAGGCTGAGGCAGGAGAATGGCGTGAATCTGGGAGGTAGAGCTTGCAGTGAGCCAAGATTGCACCACTGCACTCCAGCCTGGGTGACAAGAGTGAGACTCCGTCTCAAAAAAATAAATAAAATAACATTTTTGTTTTTTTAAAGTTTTTATTTTTAAATATAGTCTTAAAGAAAATTGGAAAAATAATAGAGACTAGTTTTTTGGAGACAGTTTTGCTCTTGTTGCCCAGGCTGGAGTGCAATGGCACAATCTCGGCTCACCCCAACCACCGCTTCCTGGGTTCAAGCAATTCTCCTGTCTCAGCCTCCTGAGTAGCTGGGATTACAGGCTCATGCCACCATGCCTGGCTAATTTTCGTATTTTTTAGTAAAGATGGGATTTCATCACAATGGTCAGGCTGGTCTCAAACTCCTGACCTCAGGTGATCTGCCCACCTCGGCCTCCCAAAGTGCTGGGATTACAGACGTGAGCCACCACGCCCGACCCTCATCCCTATTAAAAATACAAAACCGGGGAATTGACAGTGTCGTGACTATTGGGATGTTACAGGGAAGTTTCTTGCAAAAACAACCTGGTTTTACCAGATGAGTATTATAAGTTACTGGAGGTGGCTTGGAAGGATAAAGCATTTTCTGGTCTGGAAATCTATATGGAATCATAGATTCCGGTTATGTTGTACTTCAGTAACCCTGAAACACAGGATTCTGTGAAAAGAAATAAGTTAGTGGGCCGGGCGCGGTGGCTCAAGCCTGTAATCCCAGCACTTTGGGAGGCCGAGACGGGCGGATCACGAGGTCAGGAGATCGAGACCATCCT